AAAATCTTGAAAATAAACGGTTTAGATAATGTGCTGTAAGATGCACTATTTTTAAGACTCAAAATCCTTTTTCTCTCCTTCATATTCATATATCTCGATGTATGATCAATTAGAGGGTTTTTTCCACATTAAAACAATATTTTCAATAGATTTTTGAGGTAATAAACTTTTTTTAACTTTTTATCTATCTATTTAAGAAATTAAAAGTTTCCAAAATATGGTATTTTTCTTTAGTGCTCCTGCAGGAGCATACAAGTTAGGCAATCAGTAAACTTCTAGAGCGAGGGGTATTATCGTCTTACACGCTTATTGTAGGAGGGGTATTTATGCCGTTCTGGTAACTTTTTAGGGTGTGATTTGTATAAGGTTGTCACCTTAAACCATCCAAAGGCGCACCTCTAAATTTCATCATATAATTTTAGTGTAAAAAATTCTTAAAATTATCTGAAATTTATTTTTATATCTAAGTATAAAATTATAAACTTTAAAAATAGTTAAAACCACATATGAAAATCTTGAAAATAACGGATGTAGATAACGTGTTGCAAGATATTCTATTTTTTTACTCAAAATCTTTTTTTTTTCTTCATAATTATACATCTTCGAGATAATCAATTGAAGGTTTTTTAATATTAAAACAATATTTTTAATGGATTTTTAAGGTGGCAACCTTATATAAATTTTTTCTAACTTTTTGTCTCTCTATTCCAGAAATAAAAAGTTTTTACAATATGATATTTTTCTTTAGTGCTCCCGCGGGAGCATACAGTTGGGCAATCAGTAAACTTCTAGAACGAGGGGTATTATCGTCCTACGCTTAGTGTAGGAGGGGCATTAATGCCGTTTTGCGCACTTTCATTTCCCGTTAAAAAGTAGTCTTGTTCCCACCAAAGTTTTCCTAGCGAGGAGCCCATTAATCTTCGTCGAAGGTATGATCGATTTTCTTTACGTTTTTTTTGTTTTTGGTATTATTTAGCTATTATTTTTTCTATTAAGATTGTTAATCTGATGGATAAGTTTGTTACTTTGGTTTCTAGTTATTTTTACTTGCTTTTTAGGGTTTTTCTAGGTCTTTTTCTGCAATAAATTGAGTCTTCTTCTAGGGCATGGATGCTATGGTATATGATTATTTTCTTTTTTGGGGTTAGGGTTTGGGATTTTGTGGAGCTTTTTTGTGTTTCGAGCCATGCATGTATTGCTATGGGGCTTTCTCAGCTTGAAAAATAAGTTTAGGGTTTTGGATTGTTGGAAAATTCGTCTCTCTCTAGTTTTTCACGAGTTTAAACTCTGTACAGGGATGAGTGGTTATTGATTTCTTAAGTATAAGAAGTTGAGATTTTTGTGACTGCTCACTCTCTTGGGCTTTGGATTGTTGGTCCGCGTTATCTTCTGAACCTTTGAAACCTCCATGTGTTATTGGTTAACTTGGAAACATAAATAAGGAGACTCCTATACATTTTGGTCATATTAGGGGTTTAAAAGATATGATAACTGTTCATCTCTCTCTGAGATTCAAGGAGAGATCAGGTTTCAAGGAGACCTTTACTTGCAGATCTCTTCCACTTAGGAGGAATTGAGGTTGACGGAGTTGAATTGTAATAAATAAGTGCTGAATTGTGCATCTGCAATAGCATGAGTTGCTTAATTTTTGTTGTTTCACATTCTCATTTTGAAGTTTGAACAGTTTTATTGTTGTCAAATTATCTTCCTTCTTTTTTTCCTTGTTTTGATGTTGTCTTTTTTGGCACTTCTTTTGTGGAAATGTTGATGTTGTTATGAAATTCTTACTCATTTCTTGGTGAAGCAACTATAACCAAGCTTCTTTTGGTTCCTGCAGCTACTTCATCTTTTCAAAAGTATTGAGAAAATTCATAGTGATACAGCTTGATTGACTGGTCTATTTTATGTGTCAATATCCTTTATCTGTTCCTTTGCTAGCTTAAATATCAATATTATATTCTTTGGACGTGCTTAATTTTTCTATGAACTTCGTAAGGAGTGTTATATTAGGATCTGCCTGATGTTTACGACCATAGCATTATCAAGGAAGAATGATTCATGGTTATGTTTATCCCCATAGCATTGTCAAGGAAGAATGGTTCTATCATGTTACAAGTTCTATTGAAAACTATTCACTTACCAAAGGATTTATGGAGCATGGATTTTGTAGTTTTTCTTTTTTGAGTAAACAACCAGGGGAAGCGGTCCCTGCCCATTTTCATTAATTCGGAAAAATTAAGAAATTACATACGATCAAAAGGCTTAACTAAAGGGCCAGTAGATATATTGAAATCAAGAAATAATGAATAAATTCTGGACTCATGTTCTCCATACAGTAGCTATCTTTAAACTTATGACCTTCTTTTCCACATGATTCGCTTCCCTATATACATGATGAATACTCCATTATTTCAGAAGTTGAAGCTGACACAAACAATCAAACTTGATGATCAAAAACAAAAAAAGAGAAACAATTGAAACAAATCTGTCCTTAATAGGATTTTTGTATCCACATCTATACCTTTCATCAAAACTCATGTGGATATTGCCTTAACATATTTGAACACAGTAATTATAATTTCAATTGATATTCTATCCCAAAAAAGGAAAAATATTAAGAACTGTACAAATAAAACACATTACTTCAGGTAAAATTCATGCATTATTTCCAAGCCAAAATGGCGGTAATGCATTTCTCAAAGTTCTTCCAGACGTAGCCAAACAATAGCAATGTATTTTTAGGTTGCATCCAGATGCTACCCAAACAGTAAAAATCATTTCCAGGTAATGTATTACGCCAATAATGTATTTCGAAGATAATATATTTCCAGGCACTCAAACGGCCCCTAGTATTTTCTGATTGTCTATTACTACAAACAAGAAAGTTTTGTGATCTCTCTCTCTCTCTCTCTCTCTCTCTCTCTCTCTCACACACACACACACACACCACACACACCACCACCACCACCACCACACCCACACAAACATGTGATATGTGCACATGCACCCTCATGTATATTTGGTTTCCGCATTTCTCTTTGTACTCATATTGTGCATTGGCTTCTTTAATTCTTCAGTTCAAACCATTCTTTTTCACATTCCTCCTATTTAGTTGTTTGCGCTTTGCTTCTGAATCTGCAATTTAATCATCACAATTCGTAAAAAAATGCAAATATTTCTTCATCAATGAACTCACTTAGACAACTTTTCCGGTTTTGGTTTTGTAAAATGCCGTTTCTTTTGTATCTTTTGCAGAATTTCAAATCCATCTTTGTGGTAGAGACTTGGACTAGCTAGAAAGAAACATCTCCTCTTTGAAATGAAGAGAGCTCTCGAAGACAATGGACCTCCACCCAAGAAGCCAGTCTTCTTAACTAAAGCTCAGAGAGAGCAATTAGCGTTGCAGAGGAGAGAGGAAGAAGCAGCAGAGCAAAGGAAGCATCTTGAAGAGCAGCGAAAGCTATTGCTTGCCAGACCGACTGAAGCCACTCCCTCAGATCGCTACCATGACAGAGAAAGGGAACGCGAGCGTGAGCTTGATCGTCGTAGAGAGAGAGATGAGGAAGCAAAGAATAGAGAGAAGGCTCGTATCGAGAAGCAAGCAGAGAGAGAACGCGAGAAGGAGCTCGAATCCATAAAGGAGCAATATTTGGGCACCAAGAAGCCAAAGAAGCGGGTCATAAAGCCTAGTGAGAAGTTCCGGTTCTCTTTTGATTGGGAGAACACGGAGGACACCTCTCGAGACATGAATGCCCTTTACCAAAACCCTCATGAAGCCCAGCTCTTGTTTGGGCGTGGCTTTCGTGCTGGAATGGATAGGAGAGAACAAAAGAAATTGGCGGCCAAAAATGAGAAGGACTTGAGAGAAGAGATTCGCAAAAAAGATGGCGTTGAAGAGAAACCCGAAGAGGCTTTAGCCCAACGCCAAAAAGAAGAGGCAGCAAACCTTTACGATACTTTTGATATGAGAGTTGATCGCCACTGGTCTGAGAAGAAGCTTGAGGAGATGACAGAGAGAGACTGGCGGATCTTTAGAGAGGATTTTAATATCTCTTACAAGGGATCCAAGATCCCAAGACCCATGCGAAATTGGGAAGAAGGTAATTTGAGTTCTGAGCTTCTAAAAGCCGTTTATAAGGCAAACTATAAGACCCCATCGCCAATTCAGATGGCTGCTATCCCCTTAGGGCTTCAACAGAGAGATGTTATAGGCATAGCCGAAACTGGGTCTGGTAAAACAGCTGCTTTTGTGCTTCCTATGCTTACTTATATATCTCGGCTTCCTCCCATGACTGAAGAAAATGAGGCAGAAGGTCCTTATGCTGTGGTTATGGCACCCACTAGAGAGCTCGCCCAACAAATCGAAGAAGAGACAATAAAGTTTGCTCATTACTTGGATATTAGGGTGGTTTCGGTTGTTGGTGGTCAATCAATCGAAGAGCAAGGATTCAAGCTACGACGAGGATGTGAGGTTGTGATCGCGACACCTGGTCGTCTTATCGATTGCCTGGAAAGAAGGTATGCTGTTTTGAACCAGTGCAATTACGTTGTATTGGATGAGGCAGATCGAATGATCGATATGGGTTTTGAGCCCCAGGTTGTTGGTGTTCTTGATGCCATGCCCTCAAGCAATCTAAAGCCCGAGAATGAGGATGAAGAGCTTGATGCCAAGAAAATCTATCGAACCACGTACATGTTTAGTGCCACAATGCCACCTGCAGTTGAAAGGCTTGCAAGAAAATACCTCAGGAACCCTGTTGTGGTTACCATAGGCACAGCTGGTAAGGCCACCGAACTCATAACCCAACATGTGATTATGCTTAAGGAATCAGAGAAATTGTTTCGATTGCAAAGGCTTCTCAATGAGCTTGGGGATAAGACGGCAATTGTGTTTATCAATACAAAGAAAGCAGCAGATACTTTGGCAAAACAGCTCGATAAGTCGGGTTATAGGGTGACCATATTGCATGGGGGTAAGAGTCAAGATCAGAGAGAGATAAGCCTCGAGGGTTTCAGGACGAAGAGGTTTAATGTGCTGGTTGCCACCGATGTCGCAGGGCGTGGGATTGATATACCTGATGTTGCCCATGTAATTAACTATGATATGCCAGGAAACATAGAGATGTACACTCATAGAATTGGGCGTACTGGTCGTGCAGGGAAGACTGGTGTAGCAACCACGTTTTTAACGCTCGGTGATACTGAGGTATTCTATGATTTGAAGCAGATGCTTGTACAGAGCAATAGCCCGGTGCCTCCTGAGTTGGCAAGGCATGAGGCTTCGAAGTTTAAGCCTGGGAGCATACCAGATAGGCCTCCTAGGCGTAATGATACTGTGTTTACACATTGAGGATGATCAGTTATAACGATTTGTGATCCAATCCTACCTAGTATGAGCAGAAGGAAGGCTTTTTTGCTGGTTCAAATCCCTTGTTTTGTGTAATTGGGGTTGGTTTTGGTTCTTTTATCACCCTTGGATATTTTCTGCTGATTTCTCATCACTGGGGCTGATATCATTTCATGGGAATTAAGGTAAACTTTTTCTTGCATATTTTCATAGAAATTCATTTGATGGTTTCATAACATTGTTTCTGGTATTTTGGATGGGACATATATGGGCTGTAGTTGATCTGTTCTTGGAAATGGTACCAGTGATATATTTCGCTCATACGAACCTTTTTATTCTTAATTATCAGAACTTGGAATAATTGAAATCCAAGGGCATTTGCTGTTCTGATAGTTTTGTAGTTATCATCTCTCATGCGTGGTTCAGTGTGTTTCATTTTTTTATTTCTTCTTTGGTTAACTTTTGTTGACAGTGGTACAAGAAGCGTGTCTTAATCAAAATTTACTAAGGGGGCAAGAAATTTGAACACTTTGAACCTCACAAGGACCGCAGCTTGTGCTTGGTATCTGCCCTTAACATTCATCTCTATTTGGACATATCTCTCTATGCTGTCAGTGGATTCTAATTCCATTGGGCTCTTCTACTAATCTTTACTGGATTGGGCCTTCTTTACTTATCCAGTGCATACATATTCTCTGTGGGATAGAGAAACTTGGCCCAGAATGAATAAGAGATTTGCTTTTAAGCTCCTCTTGGAAATGGTGATGGTTCATGAGAGAGTCCATGATTAATCATAAACCAGTCCTCATTATCAAGTGCCAAGCTTTGAAGTGCCAAATTGCATGGAATACTTTGCACAAAACTGCAGTTGCTTGACATTGCTTATTGTCACAGTTGCACATGACACATGTAAGGATGATGTGAACATGTTCTGTTTATTTTTTATATAGGATGATGTGCACCTTATTTCCATCATCTACCAGGTGTTAGCCAAAAGCGCATCCTTTAGTCACCTATCAATGCTGGTGCTATGTATATGATTATCCTTCAGCATTTGCTATACAATTGCGATATTATTTTAGGCAGGCTTTATGATGTTGAACATGTTTTTACTATTTGTTTTCTGGTCATATCTGTAATGTTCTATCTGAAAGCCTCAAAGAAAATATAATGACAATTACCTCGGCAATATCAGAAGTAAACATTTATTACTGCTGGCCTTAGCTTTTATTAATTTATATGGTCTCTACATGACACATACTCCAGTATTCTAATATCATGTTCTATGTTATAATTATAATAGGTGTAATGGACTTCCATTCCATGTTTCCCTACTGACAAAAATATGTAGTGCATTAAAATTAGAACTTAAAAGTGAATATACACAACTTGCTTTGAAAAAAAACAAAGTATTTGATCTTGTTTTACTTGTTTCGTAAGCATGTCCATGTCATTACCCTTCTTGTGTTTTCTTTACAGAGAGAGCCATGTACTGGACCTGAGACCCAAAAACCTAGCTGTACGTGTTTATCTGAGAGGTAGATGCAGAAAGGTTATTAGTGTGATGTCCACTCCTTTGTTATTTTATCATTGGGTCTTTGATCTCTACTTCTCTTTCTGTATGTGCTTTTCCAGGAGTTTCTGGTAGCTACAGTAGCTGTTAGATTGTTTAGTTCAATGTGTTAAAGGTCCGTTGTTTCCAAAACCAGGGATAACAGCTTCAGTGCTATCCATGATGCAGCACCTTCTTAACTGTGAGTTTTCAGTTCTCTCTCTCTATGATGCTGTAGGTACTGCACTTTTGAGTTCTCTCTCTCTCTCTC